CATCAGCTCTGTGTTCAGTGCAGGACAGAACACATAGCCCTGGCCCTCAGAATGGTGTTTCCCAAATTGTAAGAGAACATAAATAGGTGGGTAACTGGCTAAATGTTGAGTCCGGTTCAGCAGGCAGGACCTGAGATTCTGTATTTCTGACAAGCTCTCCAGGGATGCTGATGCAGCTGGTACTTAAATATTGATGAGACAAGCAGTGTGAAAGCTCCTGGAGCCTTTGACAGATCTTTGAAGAATTCTTGAGCAGCACATGCCTCCAGTTTAATGGTAACTTGGTTACTGCTCAAGTGCTAACCAAAAAGACCATTAGCCGCTCAGAGGAAGAAAGACGTGGCAGCTTCTGTAACGATGTCAACCCTGGGAACACTCTGGAGCACTTTTGCTGTGTCCTGTATGGTCTCTATGATTCATCATCAATGGGGTTTACTGCTAAGTGTTCCTGGCCTACTAACACAGATGGTTTGCCACTATAAACTGTGGACAGCCACAGCTCCTCACCTGACTTGAATAGCTAGATCGAAGGTGTGCTCCTAGGAAGTCAAGGATAATCCTTGGTCACCAGAGTACCTGGTAAGAAAAGATCTCAGGTGGCACACTATGTCGTTGTTGTTAAGTGCCATTGAGTTGATTTCAATTCCTCCAACTGTGTATATGGTTTCTGAAGAGTGTGCTGATGGGTTTAAACCACCCACCTTAGAGTTAGCAGTCCAGTGCTTATCCTATAACATCACACTGGTACTTCAGGTGGTGTACTGAGACTGGACAAAATATTGTTTAACTAGCATACATGCCCATTGAACAGATTTCATTGTCTTTCTCATAGAGGTCTTGGGTTCTTTGAGATTTTTAAACCATGTGGCTACACTATATCCCATCACTTTATTTTGGGCAATTCATAAACATAATGGGTTTATGATGGTTTATGGAAATTCATTTAGAGAAAACTACTGTGGATATATTCATAGCTAATAATTAAAATGTGGCTCTGTAAGATAAGCCCTAAGAAATTCTGGTAGCATAGTGGTTACAAATCAGGCTTCTAACCTCAAGGTCAGCAGTTCAAAACTACCAGCAGTTCCACAGGAGAAAGATGAGGCTTTCTACTCCCGTAAAAATTTACATCCTCGGAAACCCTATGCAGGGTTGCTATGGGTTGGAATCGACTCCATGGCACTTAACAACAAGATAAGCACTGGACTACAAGGTCAGTTTGAATTGCAATGTTGGCAGTTCAAACTCACCAGCCGCTCTCCAGAAACCCTATAGAATTGTGATTCAATGTCACTTAACAACAACAAAACTTAAAATAGGCTTGAGGGGAAAAAAGAAAAAAGTAAACAAATGGAAATCCAGGATTGAGCCCATTATAACCTATGAGGATACCATGGGTATTCACACAGCACAGTGGGCAATTCCCAAGGTAAAACTTGGGTCCTAAATTCCCAAGGCAAAACTTGGGTCCTAAATAACAATGAAAAGAGCACTCCATATTCACCCCAAAACAGTTTTCCTTTAGAATAAGTTGCCTTCAGAATTTCTGATGAATAGTTATCAGATGGTTTTATGAATGGAGGTGTGAGCTACAGACACATCCAACTGGAATTTGGCTTTGTGATCATTGTCTGCCAAGGACATACAGCTACGCCTTGCTTATGCCCAGGACATGTTCTATGAAATAGGATGTTGCATGATTTGGACCCTGGGCATCCACCATATTAAAACCTTATGGAAGGAACTTCCTGCTGTCCTCTTTGTTGTTGGAGCTTCTGGTGGAGGCTGGAGGAGTGGGTGGCTGAGGTGGGAACACAGTGACAACGAAAAAGAGTTAGACAAAGTGGGGTGCCCAGGTCCAGCAGCCCTCGCCCGTCATTGCCCTTCTGCCTACAGACAAAGCATGAGAACCTGTGTCCAGACTCAAAATCCTCTGCCTCATCGGCCTGTATCCCCCCCGCCCCATGGTCCCGTGCTGCAAGAGTCGGGACTTGGAGTCTTTAAAACCAGTGGGGATAATTAAACGACAAAAGGTGGAATGCTTTCCATTAAAACAAAACTTTAGAGGACCATGGATTGCAGTTGGATGTTGTCCAAAGGAAAATCTTTAAGTGGTGCACATCTATATTAGAAGACAAAAACTCTTTATTAATAGTGACCTACCTCTGAGAGTCCTGCTGGGACGCTGTGGGTTAATTTGTTGGAATGCAAAGTCAATTTGAGCTGCATGGGTGGCAGTTCAAGCTGACCAGCCACTCCTCAGAAACCCTATACAGGGTCGCTATGGGTTGGAACCAACTCGATGGCACTTAACAACAACAACAACAACAAATCTCCGGTTTAAGGGACTCAAAGAATTAATAAAAACTAGAATCATTTCTTTTAATTGTTCCCACAAAGCAAGCAAGTAGAAAGCTATTGTTTTGACTTGAAGTGACAATGTATTTTAGCACATTTTTTTCTATGATTGACAACCAAACCAGTTGTTACTGAGTCAGCTGTGACTCACAGTCATTCCATGACATGTCAGAGAGCTGTGCTGTACCGTTCTCAGTGGCTGCTTTCCCCCAGAAGTGCATGGCCAGGCCTTCCCCCCGACGGTGTTTCTGGGCGGAGTCAAACCTCCTCCACCGTTCCACTTAGCAGCTCAGTGCATTGCAAAGTTTGTACCAGACAGGGCCCACACATTTCTGTACCAGAACAATTAACAGTATTGTAGTCCACTTTCCAAAGACCAGTCTGCGAATTCTGGAACTCGTAGGGGACATGGTTGTTGCACTCCAACTCCCAATAGGCATTTACATTTTGAACAATGGTATATTTTAGAGGACAGGAAACTGGGGAAAAGTCTCATAATAAAATGGCTCGATTAAATTTTCTTACTGAAAAAACAAAACAAAACAAAAACATCTTTTCACCATCTCATTTTGTTGCCTCGATGTAAAGAAAATAAAAATTCTTAGCACTGAACCAGTAAATATTATCATGATAAATGGAGAAAAGACTGCAGTTGCCAAGGACTTTATTCTTCTTGGATCAACTATCAACACTCTCGGAAGCAGCAGTCAAGAATTCAAATGACGTATTGCATTAGGCAAATCTGCTGCAGGAGATCTCTTTAAAGTGTTGAAGAGCAAAGATGTTAGTTTGAAGACTAAGGTGCACCTGACGCAAGCCATGGTATTTTTAATAGTCTCAGATGCATGTGAAAGTTGACAATGAATAAGGAAGACCATACAACAATTAATGCATTTGAGTTATGGTGTTGAAGAAGCGTAGTAAAAGCACCATGGACTGCCAGAAGAATCAACAAATCTGTGTTGGAAGAAGTACAACTAAAATACTCCTTAGGAGCCAAGAGAACCAGACTTTGTCTCTCATACTTTGGACATATTTTCAGGAGAAGGGCATCATGCTTGGTAAAGTGGAGGGTCAGCAACAAAGAGGGAGACCCCCAATGACCTGGATTGGTACAGTGGCAGCGGCAATGGGCTCAAACACAGCAACAACTGTGAGGTTGAGGCAGGACCAGGCAGTGTTTTGTTCTGTTGTGCATAAGGTCGCTATTAATCATAATTGACTCAATGGCACCTGACAACAATTTTGTTGCCAAGTTAATAAATGACAGCTCATCACAATCAGCTTTATAGGTTGATGAACCCTTATGTGAAGAATGTAGACTTCCTGAATGATTATTTATTTATTATTTTATTAGTGTTTGAGCTTCAAAAGAAAAATTACTACATTCATGTTGAGATCAACTCAGTAGGTCAACGTTTAGATTTTCTCACTTCCTCATTGCCACAAAAAACTTCAAAAGGAAAGCAAACTCAGGTTAACAATTAAGTAGCCTTATTTTAATCAGTAAATATGAACATTTACATATTAACCAAGGGGGCAGAATTAAATAAAACAGTGACTGATCAAGAATTCAAAAGGTAACATCATTGTGGAGATAAGGTGACAGAATCCTGGCCATAAACTTGCTTCCAGTTCATTAGAAGTAACACAAATCTACTCAGAAGAATTAGCATCATCTAACCCCCAAGACTATTTAAAAGCAAGAGCAGATGATTTTGCACATTCGAGGAAAGACACAGATATCTGCTAATTCAATGAATAAATAATTACATAGATGAATTGCTGATCATCATGGAAAGTGACTATTTGTATTCACCCTGTGTCAAATTTGTGTCCATGTATTGCTTCTCCCTAACCTCTCCATCCCTTGCTCTTCTCAGCACCCCAGGAATTCACATTTTCTAGGCAGAAGACCAGAGGCCAGAAGAGGTGAAGCCAGGGTCTTTCTCCATATCTCACTTGCCTTTATAGCAATGACTTCATCAGAAAGGGCAGAGATTTTGTTCCCGTCCTGGCTGTTTTCCCCACTCCCTCCATGGTCCTATCTCTCACTGGAAAACCTCGCTTAGCTTTTCTTTGATCATCTCTGCCACTCAATTCCTTGTACTACATTTCCTGTTCAAACACCTAGACTGGTTTCTGTTTCCTTGACTTGGTCCTGACTGATACATATTAGAATCATTCAATGTTTTTAAAATTTAACTTAGGGTATTTCTCCCCCAAAGTCTATGATATAAAGGTTCATTCAAGCCATACTCAATACCCATGTCCTGCCATGTAAGTGAATGAATATCCCCTTGGCTGTCTCATTGCCGGGTACCAATGTGAACCTGATTTCCCACCACCAGTCACAGCAGGTGCAGTCAAGGGTCAACTCAGGAGGTCATTTTGTTGTATGTTTCAAGTGTGATAACAAGGTAAAAGAAATACAAACACATTAATGTTAAGAGGACACTGCTAAGTCATCAAGTGATGTCAAAAGAAGTTTCTGAAAAATCAGAGAAACACAAGATAGCACCAGAGAGTCTCTTCCCTATTTAATCAATACATTTTCCTGAAATTAAAATCACTTAGGGCCTCAAAAATTATACCGAACCCCTTAATGAACCCTGGCGGGAGTGTGCCGCGGTGTGGCTCTTTCAGAAGTAGAGTTCCTTCGTGAGCATGGATTGTATACATGGCATCTGCTTCTTCCTGTCAAACTTGAGGTCGCTACAGCAGGACTCGAAGTCTCTGGCCACCATGTTGTTCACCCTGGTGAGAATCTGCATGATCTCCAGTGTTTTCCCGTGCTCATTCAGGATGCGGCAGAGGGCCTGGATGAACCAGGAGCCTCTTCCTGGGTTCCGCCAAGAGTAGTACCCTTGAACAGGAGGGAAAGGAGAGGATTCAAACTCAGCACTGAGAATGCATTCTGGGGCCTTCACACCAGCAGTCCTCAATCTACTTCACTCTGGTTTGCACACAAGTCAGTTATAAGACACTTACTGGTGTGCTTAGAGTACAAGCATCCTAGACATATTGTTGCTGTTATTAAATGCCATGGAGTTAGTTCTGACTCATAGCGACACTGTGTAGGGTTTCCATGGAAAATCTGGTGGGTTTGGACTGCCTTGTGGCGAGCAGTCCAGTGCTGATCCTATAGTGCCATGCTTAGATCTATCTACAGGGCTGCGTAAAGATGCCCAACAAATGCTTTTGTGTTACAGCATGGAATTCCCAAACACAGACTATCATTAAGGGTCAGGGTGGGTGGATTTGGCAGGGAATATTCTATCAGTTTTGATGGGGGCACCCACGTGATACATCTGATACCTAAGCAGGTGTGAGACAAATGTGCACATGAAGTTTTTCCAAGGAAATGTCATAAAACCCACTGCAGAACTCTGGAATTCCTTACCAACCCTTTTGAAGGATGAATGCTTTGTAACTTAAGCACAGAGAAAGGACCACTGGGAGAATTTGTGAGAGATGTTTCTGCTGCTGGCGACACAGAGAACTTGAGAGTCTGCTGAAGAAATCTGGAGGCAAGACTTGGGCAGAATGACCTTAAGTTGGAGAACTGTTGCTCTGAATGGCGGCTCTGCTAGGACAAAAGATGTTTATGGCAGAGAAAGCTTGGTCTTGGGTTGGGCTGGGTCCTGTCCAACAGGCAGAGCAAGGGCCAGGCAAAAAAAGACACTGGACATGTACCTAGGAGGATGTCCACGAGCTGAGGAAGGAATATTAGTGCAACCAGGAAAGGAATCTAGCAGTGAGGAGCAAGAGGGCCACAAGCCAATTCAGAAGGTAGCCCCCAGAAGCTAGAAAAGGCAAAGAACTGCAGGAACAGAGACCCAGGGGCCCAGGGACTCAGGAATCCCCAGAAGAGATCACCCAACTTTAATCATCTATCTGTTCACAGCACCTACAACACGCCTGGGATTTTTTATGCAACTATATGGCTCCTGGAGTCCTGGTGTGGCGCTGTAGGACAAGCCCTGGACTGCTAACCACAAGGTTGGCAGTCCAAACCACCAGCCGCTCCTTGGAAACCCTATACAAGGTGGTTATGAGTCAGAACTAATTCGATGGCACTTCCCACCAACCACATGACTGCTGTACAACAGCTACCGTTCATGAGCGCGGACGAGTTTATCAGCTGCCATTGTGTAAAGTCTGACTCATGACGGTCCAAAGTGTGCCACAGAACTGTGCTCAGTGGCTGAGTTCTCAGAACTGGATCACCAGGACCTTCTTCTGAGGCATTTCAAGATGGACTCAAGACTTCCAATGTTTTGGTTAGCGGTCAAGTGTGTTAATCATCTGCACCATCCAGGGACCCCATCAAGAGCAGCAAGATCAAATGATTTTCTATTTTCTAGGATCCTGGTGCGGCACTGTAGGATAAGCACTGGACCGCTAGCTGTGAGGGCGGTGGGTCAAACACACCAGCCACTCTTCAGAAACACCATAAAGGGTCGTTAGGAGTCGGAACCTACTTGATGGCACTTAATAACAATAAAATCCTTAAATCTTGTGACGCTTTTGTTCTCATCTGGTTTTCCAGGTGTACTGAGCAGCTGACAAAACTAGGAGCAAGAAGAATTCTAAGCTGGTGACAGTTTTTACCCAACAAATATAGTGTTTGGTAAATGATAAGCTTGCTGATTATGGGCCTTTTCTGGTCTCTGTTCACAGCCTTCAGTGTAAAGTAGAAGAGACTCAAGTTGGGACTCATTGTGTCCCGAAATCCCTATCTGACCTTGGGCATAGTGCAGAAGTGGACCTCATTGCACGGTTCCCCCATCTGTAAAATCACTTTCCCAACAATCTACAATCAGTGTACAAATGGTATGTGCTAGTCGGCAGGAGAAGCACTGTGTACAATTGAGACCCCCAAGGAGATGGACAGACACAGCGACAACTGTGAGGATGGTACAGGACCGGGGGGGAGGGAAGGAGACAGTGTCTGCAGGTGGCTAAGAGTCGGAACTGAGCTGATGACATCTAGCAACAAACTTAACACACTATAGAAATGTGATTCTTATCATTGTTGCTGTTGTGTGCCATCGAGTTGGTTCCGATTCAAAGTGACCCTGTGTAGGGTTCCTGAGAGTGACTGATGGGTTTGTTTGTCCTGCAGTGTCACTCCAGGACTCATAATTAACAACGGTGGTGGTGGTGATGATTGAGTAGAATTGACTTGGTTCTGACTCATAGTGACCCTGTGTAAGGTTTCCGAGGCTATAAATTTTTACAGGAACAGAAAAACCTCATCCTTGTCTCACGAAGCAGCTGGTAGATTTAACTTCTGACCTTGTGGTTAGCAGCCTCACTCATAACCCACTACACTACCAGGGGTTCTTAGATTTAACAATAGCAATACTAATACTAAATGGGAATACTCAGCACTCCTAGAAAGAAAAGTGAATTCATTCTTGCAGTGGGAAAACTAATGCCCCCCCTTCCCCCCCAACACACAAAAGATGTCCACACCCTTATCTTGGAGTCTATGAATATGTTTCCTAACACAACAAGAAGAACTTGGCAGACGTGATTCAAGGTTATGCACCTTGAGGTGGGGAGATGATTCTGGATTACACAGACTTGTCACAGGGGTCTGTAAAAGCAGACACCCTTTCTTGGTTTGTGAAGGAAGGAGACATGAGGTCGCTGACTCTGAAGATGAAATAAGAGAGCTGCAGGTCAACGCAGAAGTGAATAAAGGCAGTGGGGTCTGCCCTAGAGCTTCCAGAAAGGACCATTCTTACCAACACCTGGATTCTGTGGCAGATCTCTGAACTAAGAACTCGAAGATAATACATTTGTATTGTTTTAAGGCACTCTGTAAGGAGCCCTGGCGGCATAGTGAGTTATGAAGTGGGCTGTTGACCGCAAGGTCAGCAGTTCAAACCCATCAATAGTTCCACAGGAGAAAGATAAGGCTTTCTGCACCTGTAAAGATTTACAGAAACCCTGTCTGGGGTGGCTATGAGTTGGAAGTGACTCTACGGCTCATAGTCACCACTACCAAACCGCTGTGTTTGTGTTAATTTCTGAGTATGAACAGGAGGTTGCATTTTGATGCTGGATTGGAATGGTATGGTTAGTAGACAATCTGTTTGACTTCATACCTGGAACTGTGGAATAAGCAATGAGAAAGTCAGCTTCCACTGGAATACTGTGAGGGCTTTTGGCATCGGTGTCACTGACAACCACTGAGTCGGCCTGGACCCCATCATCCAACTCTTTCCCTCGGCAAGCCTGCAATCAAAGCAGAGATGGTTCATGAATCGGGAACAGCCACCTGTGTGCCATTCACGCTTTGCTAGAACTGTACTTGGCATGTACTACGAGATCAGTTATGTTAAATCACTAAGCAAAGCAAAAAAGCGTTCTTCAAAGGAAATGCACAAATGGCCAGCAACTCCACCCAAATATACTCAATATCATTAGTCACTAGGAAAATACCCATCAAAGCCACGCCATACTACTTCCCATCCACTCAGATGACTATTATTAAAAATCCAGAAAGTAGCAAGCGTTGGTGAGCCTGTGGACATTGGAACCCGCTCACATTTGCCTGTGGGAACATGAAATGGCACAAGAGCTATGGAAAACAGTTTGATGATTCCTCAAAAAGTTAACTATAGAATTATATGACCCAGCAATACTCAAATAAGCATATGTACACACGGTACTTTGTTGTCAGGAGGGACGAGTCCCTGGAGAAGAATACCATGCTTAGTAAAGTGAAGGGTCAGGGAAAAAGAGGAAGACCCCCAACAAGATGGACTGACCCAGTGGCAGCAGTAATGGGCTCACAGTAAAACCTGTGAGGATGGTACAAGCCTGGGCAGTGGAGAGCTGTATGAGCAGGAACCGATTCGATGGCACCTAACAACAACTCACATGTTCACAGCGGTGCTATTTACAGAAAATCTGTAGAGACATAGAGCAGACTGGTGGTTGCCAGGTGTTGGGTTTGTGAGTGTCGTGGAGTGATGGAAATGCTTTGGGAATTTACTAACCAAACCAAAAAAACCCAAAAATAACACACACAAAAAACTCCATTGCTTCTGAGCTAATTTCTCCTCCTAGTGACCCTATAGAACTGGCCTATAGACTTTCCAAGGTGGTGATCTTTATGGGAGCAGACTGCCACAGCTTCCGCCCGTGAAGAGTGAGCGCACTGTGGTTGCTATGTGCTGTTGAGTCGGTTTGGACCCATAGCACCCGTGTATAGACAGGCTTCCCGAGGGTGTATATCTTTACAGGAGCAGAAAGTCTCCTCTTCCTCCCACAAAGCGGCTGCACTTAGCAGTCCAACTGGTAACCTAGTACGCCCCCAGGGCTCTGCACTATTGGAGTTGTTAAGTGCTATCTAGTCGGTTCTGACTCCTAGTGACCCTGTATTTGTGGGAACATGAGGTCATGTTTTTCTCCTGAGGAGTGGCTGGAGGGCTGGAACTGCAGATCTTGTGGTTCACAGTCCAGTGCTTATCGTATGGAGCCACCGTACTGCCAAGGAGTGTACTAAATGTGTTGTTGTTGTTAAGTGTCATCGATTTTGAACTGCCGACCTCGTGGTTCAAATTTACCTGATGGTTGAGTACTTATCCTACAGTGTCACATCAGGACACCACTAAATTAGTCACTTTATGTTACGTGAATTTCATCTGAGTTAATGAAAACCAATATCGAAGTGCTGAAAGAAAACTTTAGAGTTGTGACCCATTGCAAATACATATATGCCAAGTATTGGGATTCACGTGTACATATGCCAATCTCTTAAAAGGTAGAAAGAAAAACAAAACCTCAAATTTGCAGGCTCCAACAGAAATAGCATGTGGACTTGTAAAAATGATGTATTCCCAGTAACTGTTGAACCACGTCCCCTCCCGCCCTTTTTCAATGGAAAAGTGATTACCTGGATGAAGAAGAGTTTGGGTTTCCCTAAAAGTGTTTTGCATCTATCACCCCGAACATGCACAGTCAAATCCTTTACTGGTATCAATGTATCTGTCCCATAAATATAGTTTTCTTCTCCATGGCTTAATATGATGCAGACAAAGCAAGCCGAATTGGAATGGTCCTCTTTTGATGCTGTAAGGAGGAGATTTGAACACTGAAAAGTCAGAACACCAATCTGGCCGAGTCCCAGGGGCACGGTTCCTTTCTATCCTTGCAGCTTCTGGTGACTATGGGAGATACAGCTGGGGGTGGGAGAAGCAAGGGCACTGGACTTTATGTGGCCCTTACTTTCCAACATGCACTAGATAGTGTGAAGTCATAAAGAACACATCTCTTCCAGAGGTGAGAGACTGGTTCTGTCCCTACTGGCTGTGTGTCTCTTCTCCTTTCTGAAGTCTGACCCTGTGCTGAAAAAGCTGGCAATGATGATATTCTGCTTCCCAACACTCTAAGGGTTGTGCTAAGTATTGAATGAGATAATTGAGGGACTGTGCGCTACAAAAAAAATAACGTATTTCAACAGAGCAAGCGGAGTTTTAAAGGAACTCCAGTGGTGTGTGGCACTGGAGGATAAGAACTGGACCACAAGGTCAGTTTGAATTCCAAAGTCAGCAGTTCAAAATCACCAGCCATTCCTCAGAAACCCTATATAGGGTCTCTATGAGTTGGAACTGACTCCACAGCACTTAACAACACGAATACCTGCTACCAAGAGGGAGGGAGACCCTAGGTTGAGATGGATCAGTACCACAGCCACCACGATAAGATTTGACCATGCTGGGGATGCGCTGTTTTGTTGGGTTGTACATAAAATCAACTATGGGCTGGAATTGACTTGGGGGCATGCACCCACCTATGCGCCTATCTCTATCTGTAACCAGGGAAGAGTTTATACTTAAATTCCATTCTGGACAGATAGGGTTTATAGACTTGTTACTTCCCAAGAATGACCCTTTTGAAACTGAGAGTATTCCAAATATACAGAAACCGTGGCTCAGGCATTTAAACTGTCATCTTTGGACGGAGGTATCTAAGCATCCTCAAAGAGTTCTGCCTACTCAAAAGACAAGTATGGACTGACAGGGGAGGAAAGACATCTCGCGCTGTAACTCCTCTGCCCTGCCAGAGCGCCCTCTTGAGGCCAGCATGGGTTCTGCGCCTCTCCAACACAGAAGAAGGCAGAGGGAGGAGTGGTAAAAGCACACACCTTGTTCAAGCAGTTCCTCCATCCTGGCACAACAGCAGTCATTGTAGACGGTCACGTCAAAACCCAGGCTTCGGAAACACTTTGTAAGTGCTTCAGAGTCTTTGTCCGTTCCTGTCCGGGTATCCATTTCTGTGGGAATCAAGCGGCAAGTTTGTGGATGAACAACCTCTCCCCCAACACCACGGTGTGACTTTCATCAGAAATCCCTGGGAGGTGCACACAGTTAACATGCTCTGTTGCTAACTAAACGTTGGATGTTCAAGTACACCCAGAGGCGACTTGGAAGAAAGGCATAGCAATCTATGTTCAGAAGAAAAAAAATCAGTCACTGAAAGCCCTACGGAGCAGAGTTCTACTCTGACACACGTGGGGTTTCTGTGTGTTGGAGTCAATTGGAAGGTAGCTGGTGGAGTAGAAAGGGCATTTCAGGCACTAAATGCAGCTCCAGGGTAAATCTTCTGAGTACAGAGAATGTCTTCCAAGGTTACATTTTAAAGGAGCAAATGAAGTGTGACCCCAAAGGACATGGTCACATCAGGCGCCTGCCTTCTTACCTGCCGGACCTGCCATCCCCCTGGCCATTTGACCTACCAATCTTGGTTCATCAACTATGTTGAGTCTGAAAGCTCTGGTCGGACATCTGACCCACTGACCTGGGACTGACCACGTTTACAACTTTTTCCTTGATCTAAGCCTTCCTTGAGCCACCTCCTTGATATAAACCTCTCTTTATATATATACATCAATAAGCTTTTGCCCTCGAAAGATGAGCCCCACTTTAATGACTTCTAAACTCTAGTCCAGGGTTTAGAAGCGCTTACACTCCCCCTCTTTTTCTTAGCCCTGTGGTCAAAGTACCACAATGACTAACACAACCACTGACAGCTCTCCCTGAAAGTTCCTGATTTCCCCTGGAGGGAAACACATGTCGTGAAACAAGGTGAAGGAAAAGGGAGAGCTAGACCATGAAAAGCTAGACTGGTCTAAAACACCTACCTGTTGTTTTATCGAAGTTCTTGTTATTAATGATGATGCATTTGCCCACCTTCTCATAATTCATGTTATACCGATGTGCAGGCACACCCTCTTGGCCCTCCCTGTTCTTGATAGGTGGCGATGGAGCACGTTTCTTCATCCTACTGGGGAAATATAAAGCTAGTCAGGGGCCAAAAATCTGGAGAGTAAGGAAGGACCTCTTGATTTTACAACTATTGGTGACACCAAGAAATCTACCAATTACATTTGTGAACGAGAGTGACCTGGGCTGGACAGATGATTGTCAAATTAAAGAGGCACAAGGTCTGCTGATACATTTCATTAGATACCAGAAAAATGCAAATTTAAATCCGTATGAGCCACCAGTGCCTGTGCACCAGAATGACTACAACGTCAAAGAAACTGGGCATGGTCCACCATGGTTAGCGCTTAAAATAATTATAAACTGCTGATGGGAGCCAACTTCCTATATTTGTTTTGGAAAATGGGCAGGATCTACTAAAAGTGAACTGCCTACAATGAAGCAATTCCATTCCTGGATATACACCCCAAAGAAATGCAAGCACATATTTACCAAAAGACAGATCTGCAAATGTTCACAGCAGTATTATTTAGCAGTAGTCTCTGTTATACATTGAACTGGATCCCCCTGCAAAGAAACCGTTGAAGTGCCAACCATTGGTAATTGTGAATGTGAACTTGTTTGGCTATGGGGTCTGGGAAGATGTAGTTACATTGACGTTCGGTCATACTGGAGTAGGGTGGGGCCTCATCCAATCTGAGTGGTGTCTTAGAAAGAAGAAGAGCACACGTACAGGGATACACAGAGAGCCAAAGGCCATGGAAAGTTTGAGGCAGACAAAAAACATCCAGGATTGTTGGTCATCATCGGAAGCTAGAAGAGGGACATGGAACACATTCTATATCAGAGCCCTCAGACACAGCAGACACCCTGATTTCAGACGTTTCGCCTCTGGAAAGATGAAGCAATAACTCAGTTCTGTTCTTGTAAGTCAAGTAGTTTGTGTTGCGTTGATATGGAAGCTGTAGGGCACTGTTACAATCCCAAATAGGAAAGAATTCAAATGTCTATTTACAGTAGAACAGATAAAATGTACAGTGATATCATAAAATATTATACAATACTGAAAGCAACCATGCCAAAGGGTATCTGTTCTATGGTTCCATTTCTATGAAGTTCAAAACTCGAATCCGTGGTATGAGAAATGATGCCTGGGGTTTTGGTTTTCCCTGTGCTGAGTGGTACAGGAACTGGAAGAGGAGGGATAAAAGGACTCTCAGATCTTGGTCATATTCTGTTTCTGATCTGTGTGTAGGTTACATGGGTATGTCAGTTGAGAAGATTCTTAAAGATGTGTATTTTTTCTCTATGGATGTTATAATTCAATGCCATTTGTTAAAACGGGGGAAAGACACAAATTATTGTTGTTAAGTGCTGTCAAGTCAGTCCTGGCTCAGAGTAACCTTGTATAAGTGGCTAATGGCTTTGAACTGCCGACCTTGTGGTTCAAATCGACCTTGCTGTCCAGTGCATTATCCTGCAGCACCCAACAAACAGGGCAGTGAAAAAACTAAGGCAGCTCCTTCTATTCCTTAGATACTGTCCACTTTACCACAAGTTTGAAACACACACTGTCGCTGGAACATCAGACTTCAGTTAGAGAGCAGAAAACAAAATGTTGAATGACGGATTTTTATCACTTTGAAAATCATTGAATCACCAATGATCCGAACAGCTGTTCAATACGTAGGAATAAATGAGTCAAGTTTTGTGCCCTTGTTTTATAAGCAGTTAACCTGAGATCCTGGTGTGGCGCTGTAGAGTCAGCACTGGACTTCGAACCACAAGACTGGCGGTTCAAACCCCCAGCTGCTCCTTGGAAACCCTATATATACAGGGTCGCTAGGAGTTGGAACTGACTCCAGGACACATAACAACAACCTGTGTTTCAGGGAAAGGCAGGAATTCTCCAGGATCTCCCACCCAGTCCTCAGACTTCCATGCCACAGTCCCAGAATTTGGGGCCTGAGCATTGCTTATTAGATTGATTTGCCAACCGGTCTCCCCAAGTTCTAGTCTAAAGTTGGGAGAAGCAAAGTGAAAGTAAAAACTAAGCTTAGGTTACTTGAGAAATGTGGGTCCAAAGGTTACTGACTGAGGTTTGCTTTAATTGAATCTTATCTGCTAAGAGTTTTTGAATCCCTGAAAGGATATGGTCTTTCGCCTCGGTCTAGATTACAGATGAGTTCTCTGTTTATGTCTAACCTTCAGGTTCCAAACTGCCACTTTCAGACCGCAGCATGATTTTATCTGCCACATTCATGGGGTCAGATTTCTTCCATGGTATCATAAGATACTATTTTTCTTTTTAAAAGACAAGCATCCTATATCTGTTTGGTGATCTTCTTGGGGTTCCTCCCTCCCTACTTTGCTTTCTGTATTAACCAACTGTTTGATCAGGATTCTTCTATGGAAACTTTGATCAAAATGTTCAGCAATGGTAGCTGAGTACCATCCAATTCTGGTCTTATGGCACAATGAAGGCAACTAGCCACACAGTCCATTGCCTCACCTCCTCCTGCTTCTGTTTCCACTGTTGCTCCAGGTGAACGGGGACCGACTGAGCCTTGGATGGCCACTCACAACCCTCTAAGACCCCAGCCACTACACAATGAGAGTCCTGGTGTGGCGCTGTAAGGTAAGTAATGGCCCAAAAGGTCAGATTGAACCGCAGGGTCAGCAGTTCAAACTCATCAGCCACTCCTTGGAAGCCCTATACAGTGTTGTTAGAAGTCAGAAACAACTCGATGACACTAACATCAGCATCAACAACAATTACACAATGAAACTGAAGATCAGACGCACTCAGTAAGTTACCAGACCAACTAACTCGGGGGTTCCATGAAGCCAGGCAGCTGCTTCAGCAGCTACATTCATTCATACCAGTTTTCTTCACACTCCTTCCCCTGAGGGCCACCATAAAAGGGCATTGGCCTTGGGGTCAGATAAAGCTGTGTCCATCTACCCGAGTGACCTAGGCCAGTGAGGCCAACTTCCTCATCTGCAAAACAGAGTTAACTGCACAGAGTAGGTGAAGTCTTTTGGAATTATCCCCCAAATAGATGACAGATTCCGTGGCAGCAAGTACTTCCTGTTCCATCCAACTGTCTTATCTCCCTCCCAGGCCACCTTAAAGCATCAGCAGAGGGGGTTTCTGGAGTTTACTTCTCGGGGAGGAAGAAGCAGGGCTGATTTCCTCATTACTGCCCTGCCAATGGCCTTATTATGGTCAATGTCCACTACACAGTCTTTCACAGGCACACAAAATCTCTGCTTTTCAGAAGACTCCTCAGAGGTCATTGGAGATGGCCCAATCACTGGTCAGTGCTTACTATAGGTTGGCACAAACAGTTTGCGTTGGTCAGCTTGATCTCACCTAGCAGTACCAAGGAAGCAAAGGCCTGGTGATGTACAAGAATCTGTTTAGATTCTTGTAGCTGTCACGTCGATTCCAACTCACAGCAACCCAATAGGGCAGAGGACAGCTGTCCTGCATTGTCTCCCAGGCTGTCCTTTTTATGGACACAGACTGCCACCTCTTCCTCCCGGGAAATGACTGGTGGGTTTAAACTGCTGACCTTCTGGTCCTTCTGTTCAGAGGACAGTCAAGAAAGTCCTTTGGAGCAGTTCTTTTCTGCAACACATAGGACCGCCATGAGGTGAAACCCACGTAACGGCACACCACCACACCACCACCAGCACCACGTCCTGGAGAAGCGTTCACAAGTATTTTCTCATCGAATCCTGATCACCCAGAGGGAGGCAGACACACCACCAGCCCCTTTCATGAATGAGCTTTTACATGCCTGGCTCAAGGTCACAGTGAAGCAAGCACGGCAGGCCAGAATCCTGACCCTAGAAGCTGTCCTCTCACCCACTGGCTGACGAGAGACCCCAGATGGAAACAGCAAGGTGATGAGCGTCCAAAGCCAGACGGGTCATTCTGTGTCCCTGGAGCCGGGACTGATGGGGCAGCGGCCAGTGACTCTCCCGAGGAAAGGCATCCTAGGAACCGTCACTCTGTAGGGACCTGCAGATTGAGTACACACTGGGCTGCTAACCACAAGGTCAGAAGTTCGAATTCACCAGCTGCTTTCTGCTCCTATAAAGACTTCTGCCTTGGAAACCCTATACAGGGGTGTTATGAGTCAGAACCGACTCCACGGCACACCACAACCACCTGGCTCATATATGAAAGTACTCTTTAGAGTACTTATGTATTCTACGTACCTGACACATTGCATTTTTGCCCCCCACATTGCAGTTTTGCAGACCAGCATGTTCAAGTTCAAACTGACATGTGCCCTCTGTGATCTGGCTCCACAGTCTCTTCCCCTCCTGTACTGCTTTGGTTCTTTGAATAAACATCTTTGACCTTAAAATTCAGAGATGGGATTTTTCCTCTTCCAACTTAACTTCCAGTTCTCTAAGAAGTTGGAATATGACCTTTGACCTTCCTTTACCAGGTCCTGCTCTCTCTTAATGGTGACCTGCAACCTTTTAAAACCCAAGACAGCATACAATGAAGTGGGAGAAACCCAGACGCATGCAACATATAGCCTGAACAGCTACCTAGGATGTCCCATGAAGCCATGTCCCGAAACTTTCAGACCAAGGAACCAAATCCCATGAGGTATCTGGTTGCTAATAAGAACAACATGCTTTTTTCTAATTGGCTACTATCGTTGTTAAGTGCTGTCGAGTCTGTTCTGACCCATAGCGACCCTGCACAGAGATTCCGAGGCTATAAATCTTTACGGAAGCAGAAAGCCTCATCTTTCTCCCTGGTACATTTGAACTGCTGACCTTGAGGTTAGCAGCCCGATTTGTAACCACTTTGCTAGCCTACTCTAATTGATGAGCAAAACAAAACTTCCGAGCATCTTTTATAAGACCACCAGGCTGAGATATGAGGGGGCTTCAAAAAGTATATGGAGAAGTTCCATGATCAATTCCGTGCTTTCACAAACTTTTTGAAGCCTCTCTGTATAAGTTAGTTAAAAAAGAAAACATTTCCCCTTCTGTCGGAACAGAATCTGGAAAACCAGCTGGTCAGAAGTGTACACATTAGGAGAACAAAGACACACAGTTCATCTATAATGTTTTCCATGGCTATGAAAGTACCTAAAATTTTAACATGGAATATAATTCTTATCTCTGGTAAGTATCTCAAAAGGCTGGCAAGGGAATCCCCCTATCTGTCCCACCCCTTAAATTGAATTCCTAGGTAAAAAGTAAATTTTTTATCTGCTTCCACTTTCTGGAGTTGAGTCAACCAGTATATAAGTTTCCTTCTAGCCAAAATAATTCTTTGTTAAACACATCTTCCCAGCTCCCAGGTGGATGTGGAGACAGAATTACTGATGTAATCCCACTGAATTCATCTTGGGAAAACTCCATAAATACAGTTGATCCTTGAACAATGTGGGGGCTAGGGATGTCAATCTCCCACACAGTTGAAAACCAGTGTATAACTTTTGACTCCCCTAAAACTTTTCTATTAGATGGGAAGTCTTAATGATAACAAATATTCAATTCACTCCTATCTTTTGTATAGGATATGTGTTATATTGGGGTCCTGGTGTGGCGCTGTAGGTTAAGAGTTATGGGATAAACAAGGGAGGCGGTTCAAACCCACCAGCTGTTCCTTGGAAACCCTAATCAGGGTGTTTGTGAGTCGGAACCGACTGTATTTAAGTGCATTATACTACATCATATAAAAGCTGCATTTCAAAAACATATTTTGTAAAAAATACAAGGATTTAATTTCTGTTGGCATAGCTACATAAATTCTCTTTCTTTTCCATACCAGTCTTTACACTGAACTCACTGATCTTGAAATGGAGGGCAATCAAAGCTACGGATCTCAATGTACAATTCATATCAAGTGGTTCACCTTTCTTGTCACGCCATGACTTTTCTCTGCTTCTTAAGAGCACTTCCCACATCACAAGTGGTGCTTCGTACAGGTCGCATAGTGGTACTCAAGGTTTATGGTGTTGCATAACCCTGTATAGGGTTTCCTAGAAGCAGCTGGTTGGTTAAATTGCTGACTTTCAGATTCAAATGATCCTGTGGTCTAGGGTTTATCCTACAGTGCCACACCAGGACTCCACGATATTGCGCTAAACATGGTGAAATATACTTGTGAATACTGAAAGATGGCTTTTTATTGAAATATGCAATTTACTAGAGAGATGAACTGCTCAAGGTCACATGATAAGCACCACATGGCGTTTTAAGACAATACTTGCAATGCTTGAGGTCATTGCAACAGCAGCAGGAGGTAGCTAGGGAACTAGTGCTGTCATCTAGCATAAGCACTGGACTTCTAACCACAAGGTCGGTGGTTCAAACCCACCAGCTGCTCCTTGGAAACCCTATACAGGGTCGCCACAAGTCAGAAACGAGTTGACAACACTCAACAACAGTACGTCCCACAGCTGAGTTTCCACATTTATGACTTCATTCTGCACCGCTACATGTGGTTTGCTCTCAACTGTGAGTGGTGCCATGCACAGTCTGTAAGTAAATGTGTAAGTTGTGATACATTCTAACTTGTCCTAATAGGTCTGTGTAGATTTGATAGTGGTAAATGATAGAATAGTATCTACATATATTTTATGCATGGATGACATACCTTTTTCTTCATTTTTAGGCTACTTGGTTCTCATGCTAGCTTTTCCAAATTGCTGCTTATCTCCAAAATTGTTTCCAATGTATTTATTGAAAACAATCTACATATAAGTGGACCCATGCAGTTCAAAGTCATCTTCAAAGGTAAACTGTACAAGGGGGCTTCCACAAAGTCGTAGAAAAATGGAATTGAGAGAATGGAATTTTTCCGTAAACTATTTGAAGTCCCCTCATTTATAGCTTCATGTTGGAACAGCAAACCCTGACTAATCAATTTAAAGCATGTGACCTGTGCCAGACAAATAAGAGAAGAAAATCAATGTCCAGAGCGCATGAGAGAGAAAAAACAGCAGAAAAAGGAAAAGACTGAAGTCCACGCCATACGTATTCTGCCAGAAGGAGAGTCCAAGAGGCCAGTAGGCTGCCTCATAGCTAAGCTGTGAGGCTTTGAGCCATCGTCTCTCTCCTTCACCCCCATTCTCCCTTCATGGCTGCCATGAGACCCACCATATTGACAGAAAGTGACTTCCAATCCTGCCCCTTGGCCTCAAGGCCATCGCTAATTTGTTCAAGGACACCATTCCCAAGTGACTCTGACCAGCCCTCTTCCCTGGGAAATTAGGAACTAAGGTGAAGAAAGAGGCTCCGTCCCTTCCAAAGAGGCTCAAATGGGAATGGGTGGAGATCATGCTTCATTCTGTGGCCTGAGGTCGACAAATGAAGAGGGAGAACAAGCTAACAGGCAGAGGACACCTGGGAGCTTGAGGAGGGCAGAGGGGAATGTTCCAGGGCCAGGTTTCCACAGCTGGAACGATCCTAAATAAACAGAAATCAGAACCCAACTTTCCAGCTTCAGACCCCCAAGGCTCCCTAAAAAAACGCTTTGATCCCCAAGACTTTCTGACCTTGCCCTGGGGCAGTGCTCCACTGAGTAGGGGTGGACTTGCTCGTGACAGAGGAGAGACTGTGACCCATGTGGGCTCATGTCCTGCTGAGCTGGACATGTCCATGAGTCCTCACATCTATGGACACAATGGTAGTTCACTGAGCACCATTGCCGGCTCAGGTGAGGACCGCAGATGGTCGTCATACCATGTCACCTCCTGACCCAACATGTACCATCAACACCTAGCGGCCTCTACACTTCTCATGACCTGATCAACTCCCCCTGAATGAACCGGCAGGGTTCATTAGCCCCTCTGACCACTCATTCTTTCCTCTAATCATCCCACTTCAGAAACCTCCAACAGTCCAGCGTGCACTTAACCTCAGGGCCTTTGCCCTTACTCTTTCCTCTAAGGAGCCTCTTTGTGAATAGTAACCCATTTACAGGTGTCAAAGCTAGCAGCTTTGGCAGCATAATGGGCTGCTAATCTCAAGGTCAACCGTTCAAAACTACCATGGGAGAAAGATGAGGTTTTCTGCTCCCATAAAGATTTACAACCTCAGAAACCCTATATGGGGTCACTATGAGTCGCTATGAGTGGGAACTGATTCCACGGCATACAATCACTGCCACACATATATACATCATATTATTACAAACACTGTTAATGAACGAAGAGTTTCAGCTGAGGGAATCTCAGGCGCAAAATTCCCAGACAGCTGCTAGTTTAACCAAGGAGCAGACCAGTTGGAATACAGCTGCTGGTACAACCTGTGGCTCACCAGGCTCATCAGGAGTGGGTGAGGGAAGGGGGCTTTGGGACCATGATTTCTATTTGGTCAACGAATGATATATGGCTGCAGCAGAGAGATTAATTTAATACAGCCTCTGGCTCAACGACCACACCTTGGGAGGGAATCAATTTCTGAGAACCAACTCTTTTAGGGTAGTTTGCAACTGTTGACTTTGCAGGAACACAGAACCATTGTTTTTGCTTTGGTGTTTCTTTTGTGTGAGACTGAAACATTTTTGGACGGATACATTCTCTTCCTTATTTTCCTCTGCCTCTCTCATTTCCGATTTTTATTTGTCCTTCTGAACTTTAATACTTAATGGCTTACCTCAGTTAAAAGTCAAAAGACAGTTGAGCCATAAAGTCACTCCCTCCCCAAAACACCAGTGGGGCGGTATGTTGTTGCTATTGTTAAGTATTGTCCAGTCGGTTCTGACTCACAGCTACCCTGTATAGGGTTTCCAAGGAATAGCTGGAGGGTTTGAACTGCTGACTTGGTGGTTCGCAATCCAGGGGCAGTAGGAGAGTAGGTATAAAGTACTGGTTTGGCTTCTACTTCCTGGTTGAACCACAAAGGGAGGGTCTTTGATTAAAATCATATAATATTGTAAACAAGAATGAGGAAGAGTTCTATGTTCTGATGCAGGACAATCCCCAATGAGTAGAAGAAAACAAAGGTACAGAACGGTGAGCATTACTACCTTTTGGGAAAATAAGATATTTCTGTATTTGTTTGTACTTGTATGCAGACGCTTGAGAAGGCTTGGGAAGCTGAAGATAAATCCTCTGATTCCAGGGCTGGACTGCCTGGATTTGATTCTCACTCCACACCATGTAGCTGAGTGATCATGGACAAATTACTTAACCTCTCTGTGCTTCAGTTTCCTATTGTAAATTAGTTAATATCCGCATGGTACTTAGAATAACATACAGCACATAAAACCAGTTGCATTGAGTCAATTCCAACTCACAGAGACCCTATGTGTGTCCAGAGTAGAACTGTGCTTTACTGGGATTTCAGTGGTCACTTGTTTGGAAATAGATTACCAAGATGTATGCTACAGTCTGGTGTGGTGCCTCTATAGGATAAGCACTTGACCTCAAGGTCAGTTTCAAATTCAGGTTAGGTGACTCAAAAAAACTCACCTGTCACTCCTCGGAAACCCTATACAGGGTTTGTTCTTAACAGCAACAACATACTAAGTGATAAAATGTTATTATTACCAACGTCAGTTTCAAATTCAGGTTAGGTGACTCAAAAAAACTCACCTGTCACTCCTCGGAAACCCTATACAGGATTATTATGAGTCGGCTCTTAACAGCAACAACATACTAAGTGATAAATGTTATTATTACCAACGTTATTTTTATCTATTGTTAAACCCACTAGGGACCCATTACCACCAAGAAAACAAAGCCGGAAGTGGAGTGTCCTTTGGGACTGGGGTGCTTGCACGGTGCAGCTCCGAGATCCCAAGGAAAACTGATGGTAAAATACATAGGAAACGCCAAGGAATACTGAGTCTGCTGTAATAAGACAAGGTACTTTTCTACAGAGCAGGCTCTCTGAATTTGGACTTCCAATCTCCTAAACTGTGAGAGACTAAATTTCTACTAAAGCAGCATAAGAGAACTAAATGAACACATACAAGAACTGTCTTAACGACATACTGAACTCATGTATTTACATTGGGGTTCGATTTTTAAAACTTTAAAAATTATAACCTGCCTTCATCATAGATAAACTTAAATCTATTTAAATATCATGGTACTTTTCAATCTATTTAGTTTCATTAACTGTACTTCTCTATGATTGCACAAAAGTCAGACACTAACGAAAGATACCATGGACATCCACAACAATCTGTGTAGGAAGAAGTACAACCAGAATGTTCCTTAAGGCCAGTCTTTACTGTCTCTCATACCTTGGACACATTATGAGGAGGGACCAGTCCCTGGAGAAGGACATCATGCTTGCTAAAGTGGAAGGACAGCAAAAAAAGGGAGACCCTCAATGAGATGGATTGGCACAGTGGCAGCAACAATGGGCTCAAGTGTAGCTGCAACTGTGAGGAAGGTGCAGGA